TCTGTCTCTCTCTGTCTCAAAAATAAACGTTAAAAAAAAAAAATTAAAACCAGCTCCAGGCTCCGAGCTGTCAGCACAGGGCCCAACACAGGGCTCAAACCCACAAACCGTGAGATCATGTCCTGAGCAGAAGTCAGACGCTTAACCAACTGAGCTACCCGAGCGCCCCCACCTTCCATTCTTTAAAACAAAACAACTATTACGATGGTCCAGGGAGTTTTCATTCACAATCTGTTCCTGTACAGATTCTGAGAGGCTTTGAATCGGGTCCTACATAGAAATAAGGCCTAAGCGGTCTAGTAAAAGTGTCAGTGAAAGTATAGATGTGAGATTTCTCAGTTATGTTATAAAATGAGATCTCACCCAGCTCATAGTCCAAGAAAATGCCAATGCCTCTGGGTTTCACGTCTAACAGTAGCAGTGTTGGAACAGCTCCCACTGCATTATATCGATCCCCCTGCAGCTGAAGCCTCCAGCATCCCTGCCAGGCTGACAGAGATCTCCTGGCCTTTGTGGGAAGCGAGTCTCTGCAAATCCCAACAGCCCATTCAGACTTGTCTCCCACTTCAACCTCCCAGAAATGCCTGCCGGAATAAAAATATGGAAAACCCAGGACGACTGTGTTGGTTGTAAATCTTTTTGGAAAGTAAGGAACGTTTTGTTTTCTCTTTGCAAATCTCACATCTTTTTTATCCTCGGAGACAATCAAGTTAGGGTGTGCCGTCTCAGGGTCTAGGATCACGTCCACTCCAAATTTTTTAATAATTTTCTGCAAAGCAGAGTACTGGGGAGGAAAACTGCAACCTTCTCTTCTTAATTGGATTGAAAAAATTGATGGGCTAATCTCATCCTCAGACTTCTTGTAGAAATGTTTAATCTGTGATAGCAATTCTACCTCAGACAGCACACTGTTCTCTACTACTTTACTCAGCAGACCTTTGAGGGTGGAAATGTAGTTTGAAAATGCAGTTATGTTTGCACTCAGTTTCTGCTGAATGTCCTTCTCTTCATCAGCTAACCTAGAAAGAACTGCTGCTTGATCACGATCTAGAAATTGCTTCAGGCACTCAAATTCAGAGAGTAGTTCCAGCTTTTGGTTTTCCACCTTCTCTTTCAGCTCTAAGGGTTTTTTGCTTTGAATGCTTATTAATTTCTGAATATCAACCACCTGTTTCTTCAGGGGCTCGATGTAACTGCTGAGCCTTTGTCTGTGGTGAGAGGCGGCCTCCTCCACGGGCCTCACCCAGTGGCCCTGGTGGTCAGGGGGTCGCATGCACGCGGGACACAACACCTGTAGGTCCTCCTCACAGAAGAGGGTCAGGACCCCGTTGTGCTTCTCGCACAGATGCCTCTCGTCCCGCCTCTTCCTCTTGCTCCTGCTGATGTGGAGGAGCTTGGCAATGTCAATCACCCTTCCCAGCTGGGTGTTGCTCCTCAAGTGCGTCTCTCGACATGAGTGACGGCAGACGGGGCAAGGGAACCTGTCGCTGAGATCAGCCCAGGATTGCTGGATGCAGCAGCGACAGAAGTTGTGCCCACATTCGGTGGTGACGGGGTCTCTCAGGTAGTCCAGACAGATGGGGCAGTTGGCTTCGGCCTGGAGCCCTGCCAGGGCTGACGACACTGCCATTGGGCTGTGAATGAGAGACTGGACTGAGGTGGGTTTTCTTCAGGAGCTTGGGCTCCAGTGAGAAGTGGTTACACTGTAAAATCTCAGTCCTCACTTTGCTGGCCGCTGCTAAAGTCCTGTGAATCTTCAGGCCTTTGATTCCAGCTGCCAAGGAGAGCCCTTCCCACAGCCTGCAACCAGTCACAACTCAACTAGACAACTCCTCTCCAGCCTTTGGAAACAGAGAAAAGAAAGCCAAGCGAAGCAGCTTTCTTAGCCAGGAGAACAATTGTTTCCTCGAATCATGAATTATTTGCAGATGAGGTATAACTTCCTTAAAAAACAAACAAAATAAAAACAACTCTGGGTTTGTTTCAGGTGGTCCTACCCATTACCAAATTCTAGTCAGATTACCCTCTTCTAACCCCAATCTTTTATTTCCATGCCTTTATTATGATGCTCCATCTATTCCTACCTACTTGGTACCACAATCCCTACATCTCATCTACCTCCCATTCACCTCAATGTGGGCTGTGGAAAGGGCATGGGCTCTGGGACAGATAGATGTAGCACAGCGAAATTAAGACACCTATCCATGTAACTTGGAGGAATTCATTTTCCATCTTGAAGGGGTTCAGCACGTGCAACCCGAAAATAGGCCATTAGTAATGTGAATTATTTTGAGGGAGGCATTCGAGCCCCAGCAGGAAAAGCCCTTTACCTCCATCTTAACTGCCTTAAAAAAGTAATTTCCCCCTTTGTGGAGAGGGCTGGATTTGCAATTATAAAGGAAATTTACATTATAAAGGGGGACTAGTGCAAAAAGAGCTATTACCTGAAAGAACTTTTTCACCTAAGAGACTTACCTGCAGAACATAAGAACCTTTGTTTACCAGACTTTTTTCTACTCACCTTTCTGGGAATTGCCTCCCTCAACTGCAAAGGTTCCAGACTTCTGGCTCTTTCCTGAGCTCTGGATGGCATGGAAGTCTCAATCATCTGGTCTGTCTGGGTCGTCGTTTGAGTCTCATATCTTTGTGAGATTCCTTTGCATAAATAGGTTATTAAAGTTTTTTCTTATTCATCTCTTCTATCTCAACTTAATTCTTAAACTAGCTATAGAACCTAAAAGGACAGAAGGGAAAATTTTTCCTCCCCTACAATCCCAAACTCTTAGAATTAAGAATAATTATAATATCACTATAAACTTTTGTCTTATGAGAGTACAGAACTTAAGGAAACCTCCTCAATTTTGAAGCTTAAAACACAGTTTTTCTGGGGCGCCTGGGTGGCGGAGTCGGTTAAGCGTCCGACTTCAGCCAGGTCACGATCTCGAGGTCCGGGAATTCGAGCCCCGCGTCAGGCTCTGGGCTGATGGCTCAGAGCCTGGAGCCTGTTTCCGATTCTGTGTCTCCCTCTCTCTCTGCCCCTCCCCCGTTCATGCTCTGTCTCTCTCTGTCCCAAAAATAAATAAACGTTGAAAAAAAAAATTTTAAATGGTGGCTTGGGCCATTTTGGGGAGTTACTCCACTTTTCATGGGTATCTCCATTGTATACGGAGGTATACATATTATAAAACATATATTTTTTCTTGTTAATATATCTTTTTATAACCGGGGAGGCTCAGTCAAGAGCCTAGGAAGATAGAGGGAAAATTATATTTCCTCCCCTGTACCTTAGAGGAGCAAGGATGAGAAAAGCAAACCAAACATGGTAAACGTGAATTCTGAGCCATCAGAAAAACTGTGTTTTAAAAAAATTTTTTTGTTTCAACGTTTATTTTTGGGACAGAGAGAGACAAAGCATGAACGGGGGAGGGGCAGAGAGAGAGGGAGACACAGAATCGGAAACAGGCTCCAGGCTCTGAGCCATCAGCCCAGAGCC